ATCAAATCGGTAAAGCTACGAACTGGTGTGATTTCGCCTGCCTGTCTATGGTGCTTGCCTGTCTCCCACAAAAAGCACTGACAAAAGACCAGAAAGAAAGTCGGCTTCAGATCTAACTCATGACTTGACTTAGTACATGTTACTACATTTACTACTAGGCGTACTAGGATACGAATGAGGCGGGAACATGTGGACATCTTCGACCTCTCCATTTTGACCTGTTCGAACGGCGCTGACCATCTCCGCGGACGTCCTTCCCCACGTCGCTCCGCGGGCGAAGACGAAACGCCACTGAGTCTCCGAACGTGGCGACTGCGAGAGGACGGCAAAACGGTTGGGACGGAGGACGGTGTGGGGCAAGCTACAAGCGACCATCCCAAGATCTGAAAAAGACCTACCGAAACCATCAGATCATGGATGTTTCGTTTCACAAAAAGACTACAAACCATCAGATCATCTACTAGCATCTACTAGCTGCTTTAGGTTTGTCAACTTTCGGCTACAAAGATCCACAAGAGTCGACCCTGGCTACAAACCCTTGGTCCCAAATATTTGATACTGTCTGCCTGTGGATCTCTTTTCCTATCTGGGTCTACCACTCGCAGACAGAAAAGAAAGGAAAAACACACCGCAACCAACACGTCTTGCAGCTGGATGAGGTCTTGTGGCCATTGATTTAACAAGCAGCTTGCTAGCTTGTGTGGCGGAGGATTGCACACAATAGCAATATCTCACCAAAGCTGCTGTGAACCTGAAGATGATTGCACACAAAATGCGGATTTGGGATTTGGTGGCCTCAGGCTCTCTGCTCAAAAACACTCCCACAAGACCAAAAGACTTTGCCCGGTATAAAGCCTTCATAGCCCGGAGTCATTGTGTTCCGCGCAACAAAAAACAGAACACCCGATGTCGCCTCCCATGAGGATGGTCAAATAGTCCCAGATGTCGTTGGGCCAGGTGTTCTCGCACGCGGAATCGATAGGGAGGGGTGGCCCAGTCAGAGGGGAAGAATCTGTTGGGGTCCAGTCTGACTTGCATAAGTGTATATAAATATCTATATTACAGAGGTTTTTGGGGTGGAATTGGATGGCATTGTGGCAGACCAACAGAAAACACCACCATCTCTGAGTTGTGGCTTGGTCAAGACCAGGGTGACCCTCGTGCTCCCACGACTCATCCAATCACACTAAACATCACTCAACATCTCGAAACCTCGACGAAACCTCCTAAAATCGCCCTTCAAGAATGGTGAACCACAAATACTTGTCCACTAAATATCAAAGAATTATCCACCATGGTTTCTTCACAAAGCCCGCTGTTGACTCCCCGCCAAAAGGAGCCCAATCTACCCCAATCTCTGAACATGGGGACCCAATGGGAGGCCATTTTAACCCCACGACCATCGCTTGAACTCTGCCCCGCGCACCACCGCATGGGCCGCCAGGGGCATCAGCAAGGCACCGGTGGACGCGCCAGCGGCAACGGTGAGGGCCTCCACACGTGGTCTGCTGCATCACGGCGGCATCACGGCAGGGCACGCGTTCTTCTTGGGGGTACAGGACTGAGATCGGCAACGCAACAGAAGCAATATTAGTAGTATGTCTTGAGCATCGAGGATGGAAGAACGTGACAGGATGATTCAGTGGGTGTTCATTTTGGATGCTGATATGTCACGCTCCAGATTGAACAAATGTCCATTCAAATCCTGCAGAGTCCTACGACCGAGTTTCAAACAACTTGAAGCAAGAACTGCAGGTGAAAACCGGATCAGATTTCCACTTCATCTACTACCCATCCCACCTGCTTCTCAATGTGGGGGCCTGCCAGCTCTCACAGGCATGGAGATTCAAAAAGATCGCCTTGCATGCTCCGCAAATACTTTCCATGATGTCGCGGGTCATCATTTCTCACACCAGTTGCCAAATCCCCCGGATTTCAGCGAAATATCAAAGGAACCCGAAGAAGAGCTGGCTAGCATCAAGGCGAGAGCCCTGCACCCCTGCGAGCCATGCCCCAACAGTACATCGAATTCTGAACACCAAACAAATGCACTCCTGTGATACTTAGAATACTTGGTCCCTTGCAGGCCCACTTCTTCTTCGACAGCCAGAGAAACAGACCGACGATCAGTTTCACCGGTCATTCGCCCGGGGTGACGAGGCGCCCTCCCCAGCTGTCCGTAGCCCGACGTTGCACACCCCCCAAAGCACAAACAATGACACAAAATGATGCCAAAGAAAGAGCACAACATTCACTGGCAGAACATCTCTACTGTCAACCCTGGTGCATTTGTGGGTGTTTTGCTCACTTTGTGCGCCAAGGCACCGCGCATGCGAGGCCTTCCTTAGCGCCTGCCGCGCGGAACAACGCGCGTTCGCATCGCCCGCCTGAGGCTGGGAATGGTGCCAGGAAGCTCAACATCCACCTGAAGGGTGGAAAAAGACTGAAGATGGAAGAGGTGAAGAAAGGTCAAAGAAGGGCTGTGGATGGAAAGCTTGGGACAATCATGGACAGTCACCTAAGCGGTGGCCATAGGGAAGATAGAACTGCTTGGATTGAACTGCTTGGACCTATCAGGATGGAACTTATTGGATGATTTATGTGAGTCTAGGCTAGGTGTTTTATTTGCAGTGCGGGCGCTTGGATCCTTTTGGATCGTTTTTGGATGCCGTGACAGCTTTTTTGTTTCAGAGCTGACACCCCATAACTGGTGGAACACGCAGCAAACTCGCTTTCGCTTGGGCATTCACTCTGTCCCTCACCTTGCAGATCCCAGCAAGGCCAGGGCTGCCAGTGCCTGGGAAAGGTAGGGTGTCTCCCCATGTCAGCGGTCGTTGGTCTGTGAGGTGCTATTGCTTGGTAATGATTTGGCCTGATAGGCAAAGGCGCAAAGGCGACTGCTCTCATGTTCTCGTATGGGAATGTTCGAGAGTAGTGAAAACTGAACGCTTCTTCTACAAAATCCATCCAGGAGGAGAGTATGCTTGGGATTGCTTGGTATCAGGTAGTGTTTAAGAACAGGCCCACGCTCAGCACCGAGTGAACTATACTTTGATTCACTTGCTTGTGGTCATTCTGCTACAAGTGGTGAAATGTCAATGCTCGGATCAAGGCGCCCAAGGTGAAAGAGGGGGGGTGTTCTGAGCAACCCGAACTACTGTCAGCAGCAAATTTCTGGGTTAGCTGGGTGACGCATGGACCAGCATTCGGGGGTAGCAAGCCAAGGAGGGGCCACGTGGCTTTGAAGTCGCTTCCAGACCAGCAAGTGGCTACAACTTCTCTCCTTTGGACATTGGTCAAGAGCAAACCACCATGGTGGTCAGTGGTTCCAGACCAGCACATGATCTTGGAGTGGACGGTCGGCAAACCGTCCCGTCCATATCTTCGACTCGTTGGAGTACATTCCCTTCTTAGATTTGAAGCTGGAGCCATGATGTCCATACACGTCGGTCAACGGTTCGCCCCCCATGGAACCAGCTGATGGAACAACAAGCCTCTCATGTGGCTCAACGAAACCAAACTGCGCGGCATCAGGGCCCTGGCCACAGGCAACAATCGCCTGCGACATGCCAGCAGAGGGGAGCCCTGCCAGACTGTGCCCTGAGGAGGGTGGTACTGAACCCTGCAACCCGCGGTGCAAACACTATGGAAAGAACGGATCAATTCAGCGATCCATGCATGTCATGGTCTCAGAATTTGTCCAGCGCCTGTCTCAAAGGCAGGGATGCTCATCTAGAATCGATTTCATCTGAGTTCATTCATCATGGCTCGTGAATCAAATTTCATGTGATCCTCCTCTTGCCAAGGATCGCTGTGAGGTATTCTTTTGCTAAAACACTATGACACAGTCCCGTTTCAATGACCTGTGGGGTCTGCCAAAACTTCAAGACAGAGTCGATCGTTCAAAAACAACCGGTTCCACTAATGATCACTATGTGTCATGTCTTCCAAGACGAGAAACGCCGCTTTGACGTCCATAACCCAGCGAGGTTTTTGGAGCTCAGGTCTACAGTCACCCTCTTGATCCCTCTTGATCAATCAAGGTGGGTGAAAAACGTGAAACACCGGCCCGCTAGAGCTGCCGCGCTAGCGTGCTGAGCATGAAATAACCTCGTGGGTGAGTTCGCGCAGCGACTTCCAACCCGAGGGATGCCGGAGAAACTGCCTCCGAGCGCTCGGCATGGAGACGAAGAAAAGACCAGGCCAAGCACGGATAGTCGCTCCACCCGCAGCTTTGAGCCCAGTCAGGAGGAAAGTCAAGCAGTTCAATCAACACACTCTCTCATGAATGTGAGCGAACCTGGAGAGATCAAACTTGCACTTTTTTGGTCGTGCAGCAGTTTCTTTGGATATCGTGATGCACAGAAGGTCTCCCCTTTTTTCAAAACACCAAGCTTGGAACAACTCCACCTTCATCCACCTTCAATGTCTCATTCTTCCCCTCCCAAATCAAGGATTGAAAATTCCAGTGAAGGTGTAACAAGATCCATGGAAATCCCAAAAACCCACCAGGCCATCTGCAGATGTTTCTTCCGAGCACTGGGTTTTGCTGAGCTTCCGTGCGGTGGTGGAACACGTGTACGGAAAGGTTGGCCCGCAAAGAACCTGCTTTTGTTCAAAAAGAGTTGATGTAGCAGGACATTCCAATGGGTGTCCAATCGACTCCCTACACAACTTAGGGATCTCCATTGGACAGTTGTCCTGGAGGAATACCATGGAATCAAGTGGACGCCCACTTTGTGATTGGGCGAAGAGATTGGCGTATGTTGGGCAATGGGTGCACCAAAAAAACATGGATCAGGTTCTAGACGCAACCTCTGTTCCCCATTCTGCGAGAGACCCAAATTAGAGGCTTTATTGCTTTATGAATCTTTATGATACTTTATTATGGATCTTTGTGAAATCTGAGGTGGTCCGAGTCTTTCAGAACATTGGGCGTTCCAAAGCTGAAATCGCTACCCACCAGAAAAAGAGGACATAGAAAGCATTAGAAAGCTACACAGCAGTTCTCGGGTCTAGATAAATTATCTCGTCTCCAAGAGAAGAATCACCCATGTAGATAAAACTCTCGAAGACTCTTCTTCAACAGCCATCAGTAGAAAGATGTAGGAAGGACGATGCACCATGTTGACAGTTGATAGTCCTGAGTCCTGAGCTTGATACCAAGATATACCAAAGACTCAAGTGGAAAGAAACATCGCAGGATACCCACGACAGACCCGTCACTTGATCCACTTCCGACCGTGAAAGGATCGCCCACGTCCGAGCTCTGCAGGTTTCCGCGCGACGCGGCGGTCCGAGCGCAGCTGGGCAGAAAAAGGGACCGTGCCCGCCAGAGGACCAAACGTCAAGCTCCGGTAGAAGGCAACAGCTCTGTAGTCTGACAATCTGTCTCATCCTCAGAGAAGGGCACAGGAAAAACATGGGGTCTGCCACAATGATGGAGACGCTCTACACTCTTGACGTGTGTGATTGTACAAGGAGTTTTGCAGAGACTTGGAGACTCTAGGCGGCTGTTGAAGAAAGTGCCTACACTATCAGCATCGACAAAAGAGTGGAGGGCAAAAACTCCCTCATTCCCACTGCTATCGCTTGACAAAAAAATCCTCTGAACCGAACCTGATTCACTTGACTGAAACTCCCTTCAATCCACCCTTCCCCGTTCAGCGGTCTGGCAGTCAACCAACTTGGACGTGCTAAGACCAACCTACTAATTTGTAGACTCTTGATGAATAACCCCCCAGATATGATGTCTTACCGTACAAAGACATCTTATTCTTAGTGTGTCACACCTGACCTTTGCAAACCCACCTATACCCGCCACACCTGTTGGCAAGGGATCAGTGTGAAACCCGTGCCCGCAAGTTCGTGCATCCAATTGTTGGCTGTGTTTATCAAGCAAAACTCTACAATATTAAGAAAGCCTTCTAAGCTGATCCAAGTGAACCAACCTTCTGCGAGGATACTCTGCATGAACCACAGCAAGAAGCAGCAAGGACACGATGCAGGTACCGGTCATCATCAAGGAGTCGTATCCTCGGGATGCCAGTGAGATTCGGTGATGACGTGTGCACCCAATGCCTGCCAGGCCTTTAAAAGATGGCAATGCTTCGTGTGGTTCTGTCTTTTTCTGGGATCAATAAGATGTCAGAGCTTCGGGCTACACCAGTGCCTATGCCTTCCCCATATCACCAGACCATTGCCCTTCCGCAATTGGTCTGGAGTCCAGACCTCTGAAGTTGTTTGGATGTTTGAACACTTAGTTCAAACTTAGACTGTTCAATCGATCCAGTTTGGGATTAGAGTCACTTCAGATTCTGCTGCTAGATTCTGCTGCTGCAACTCCATGAAAGCGAGAAATCGCAGTGGAACCACCCTCTGTGGCCAATGACAACCCCACGAGACCATATGTTCAAACACCCAGCTGACGGTGCAAGAACATCAAGAACCGAGTGGCGGGAGGGTACCAACGGAAAAATCCACAGCAATAAAAAGCCCCAAAAGTTCAACAGCCAGGAGAAGGCAGCGCCAGTGACCTCAGGTGCTGGCTGAGTGCAAAGTCTGCAAGGAGATGGTGTCACTAGAGCCCCTCTTAGAGGGACCAATGGATAGTCAGTATAATAGACACACACACACCTAGGCACGTATGAATCTCTTGGTTTGTTCTTTGATCAGTGCACCAGCTCTTTCATTATGTCGATATATATATATATATATACATCTATGTACCAAAAGTCCTTCAAGGCTTGCTGAAACCCTTGAATCTTCTGGATCCTCTGGATATCAAAAAGAAAATACAGTACTACAAATAAATTCATGATATGTTGATTTTGACCGAGAGATATGAACAGTGAAATCAGGCAGCAAACCACCAACTGCTCACGAAGAACAGTGTTCCAAAGAAGCGCTTGACAATCGCTGCATAATAAGAAGTCCATAGAAGTCCCATATCTTCTCAACACAAGTTTTCATGTTGTTGCAAAAGACTTTGATCATGTCAAGGATGGTGCGAAAGGTAGCTAGTCTCAGATTTGATACCCTAATACTATTGCGCAGGTCTTTTTTGCTGATTTGCAGGTCTGTGCCACGTCTGAAGCGTCCGACTCCTGGAAGTAAGGCCAAGTGACACCTTCTGAATGCGGATAAGTTAATTCCTTGGATCTTCAACGGCAAAATCAGGCATCAGCATCAAAAGACATCCAATTCGGAAAGAGGTTCTTGATCACACCAAGTCCAACAAGTCCAAGGATCAACTGACACCCTGGTGTTTTGAGAATGCCACATGATGAACCCAATCCTTTTTTTCTGCATGTTCTTGTTTCGACTGGAATTGGAAGGAACTCATCCCCAAACAGAACATGATGTTCATCTCATCAAAAGTAATGAAAAGGGTTCCAACAGCGCCGGATCCAAAGTCTGATGAACGTCAGGCCGTCTCCGAGCTTCAGCACTCAGTTCGTACACCATCGGTGCCATGGCCCCTTCCGCCACACTCGCGACCACCAGCCAAGCGATGAGCCAGCTCGGAGAGCTCGTCACAGCACCGGACAGTGGCACGGGGCTGTCGGGGAGCGAAGCGGTGAAAATGCCAAAGGCCACCAGTTGCACCAGAAGCATGACGGCCTCTGATGGAGGTTTCCGGGCTCCAAAAGACGTTAGGCAGATTAGCAGCGATTAGCATGACGGCCTCATATGGGTTCTACTCACAACGGCCCCAAAAAGCGTTCGAGGCGAACGCCGGGGGTTCCCAGCATATAGCTGGGCCTGAAAGATGAAACTGTTTGGGAAGACTTCTCGACTGGTCCATCTACAGGTCTATGTTCCTTTGCTGTGTTGGTGCGAAAAATGGACCGCAAAGGGCCCCAAAGGACCAAACTGGCTGCAGTAAACAGTGAATTCATCTTCACCAAAATGCGGTGTCTGACAGGTCTCAGGGCCAGTTTTCGGCCAATCTTTCGACATTTCTTGCCACGACTTTCACTTTCATCCTTGAGAATCTCTTCATGCTATGAGTGGCTGAGCTTAAGCACCACCCAAAGAGGAACAGTTCATGCTGAACAAATCTGCAGAATCTAGCCCAGCACCACAGCCCTGTTTTTTCCTGCAAAACCAAGAAGGCAAACAAAGAAAAAGTGGCGTGTCTGTCTCTGTCTCCCTGTCTCCCTGTCTCCCTGTCTCCCTGTCTCCCTGTCTCCCTGTCTCTCTGTCTCTCTCTCTCTCTCTCTGTGCCTCTCTCTCTCTCTCTCTGTGCCTGTCTCTCTCTCTCTCTCTCTTTTCCTTTCTTTTGCCTTTTGCCAAACAGCCCCTTGGAAGACCCACGCCCCCTGTCGTCTCCTGTCCTTCGGTCCATGCGTACGTCATTTCGCACCCTTGCTGTTTGTCTTTGTGTCCTTCGGCCACCGTGAAACACTCGGCGGTACCGCGGCCAAGGGGCCAAGGCCATCTTCAAGCGCCACTGAAGGCCCCAGGCTTCAATCAGCGGAGGGGCGGCGAAGTTGCCGAAGACCGAGGCGCTGGCCGAGATGATCACCAGCCACTTCAGTAGAGCCTCCTGGGGTTCGGTGAAGGATATGCTTGGTGGATGTGGTTGGTAGGATGTGATTGGTGGGATGTTGTGGTAGGATGTTGTGGTAGGATGTTGTGGTAGGATGTTGTGGTAGGATGTTGTGGAAGGATGTTGTGGTAGGATGTGGTTGATGTGGTGGAAGAAAGGGATGCGTGGGAAAAAACCAGGAGATTCAGGAAGGTTGATAGCAATTGAGGGCTTGGCGTTCATGCTTCGATGTTCGATGCCATTGGTATTACAGCAGGCTGGACCCAAGAACTGCAGAAACGTCTCTTGGAGTTGTGCACCCGCCAGGGAGCATATACGCCTCTTCCGAGACATGCAGAGAATTCTGGACAGCGGCTGATCCGTATAGGTGTGTATTAGAATAGGGAGACCTCCCAAAGATCCCCGAGGAACCATTGGTGGGGGGTCTCCCCACTCAAATACACGCCCACATATGGGAGCCATATGAACCAAGGCACTGGGAGCACCCCTTGCAGCTGCGTGGGCAGGGCTGGTGACCAGCATTGGAAGACGCCAATGACAAAGCTGCCGGAAAGCACTAAGAAGGTAGTAGATGCCTCAAGAGGATGAGCTAATGAAACAACCTAGATTCTAAACTGCTAAACAGGCCCAAAAACTCTCCAAAACATCTGAGCATCTCCTCTCAGGGAGTTGACCTCTTTCTTCCCTCCAACCACCCCACCGCGCGCATCCGAAACCACACTCCATCCAACCTATTATACACCCAGACGCCCATCGTTGAAGTGACACCGGGCTTGCACTCCTCCTCTCCACCGACTGGGCGGTGGCACGGAGCTCCTGGCTGTTGGAGGGAGGCACCTTTGGCTTGGACGGCAAAAAGGCCCAGGCCACGACCACGGCCAGCGCAAAGCCTGGCCGATCGGCGAGGTGCGGAGGGTCGGCGACTGAGTTCTGGGCCGCTTTTGGAAGGACGGCGAAATCGAGCTTTTTTGAGGCAGCAAGAGGTGGGAATTCACGGTCAAACCCTTTGTGGAGGAGTTGCATTTCGTAGGACTGGAGCCCTGGCCCAAGGCCGCCTGCTTCGATGGCCATGAGCATCACCAAATCTGAGCTGCTGGAGATACGAAGTCCAAAGAGAAATCCAATGGGTGGGCCAGCCATCTGGATCGCAAAGACCACCTGGGAGCAGCTCTCCCTCCCTCTCCCTCCCTCCCTCCCTCTCTCTCTCTCTCTCTCTCTCTGACATCTCTCTTTCTGTCTTTCTTTCTTTCTTTCTTTCTTTCTTTCTTTCTTTCTTTCTTGTTTTCTTTCTTTCTTGTTTTCTTTCTTTCTTTCTTGCTTTCTTTCTTTCTTTCTTGCTTTCTTTCTTTCTTTCTTGCTTTCTTTCTTTCTTTCTTTCTGTCTGTCTGTCTGTCTGTCTTGCTTGCTTGCTTGCTTGCCTGCTTGCCTGCTTGCCTGCTTGCCTGCTTGCCTGCTTGCCTGCTTGCCTGCTTGCCTGCCTGCCTGCCTGCCTGCCTGCCTGCCTGCCTGCGTGCCTGCCTGCGTGCCTGCCTGCGTGCCTGCCTGCCTGCCTGCCTGCCTGCCTGCCTGCCTGCCTGCCTGCCTGGCTGGCTGGCTGGCTGGCTGGCTGGCTGGCTGGCTGGCTGGCTGGCTGTCTGTCTGTCTGTCTGTCTGTCTGTCTGTCTGTCTGTCTGTCTGTCTGTCTGTCTGTCTTTCCTTCTGTCTGTCTGTCTTTCCTTCTGTCTGTCTGTCTTTCCTTCTGTCTGTCTTTCTTTATTTCTTTCTGTCTTTCTTTCTTTCTTTCTGTCTTTCTTTCTTTCTTTCTGTCTTTCTTTCTTTCTTTCTGTCTTTCTGTCTTTCTGTCTTTCTTCCTTTCTTTCTTTCTTTCTTTTTTTCTTTCTTTCTTTCTTTCTTTCTTTTCTTTCTTTCTTTCTTTCTGTCTTTCTTTCTTTCTTTCTTTCTTTCTTTCTTTCTTTCTGTCTCTCTTTCTCTCTTTCTCTCTCTCTCTCTCTCTCGCTCTCCCTCTCCCTCTCTCTCCATCTCTCTCCCTGTCAACAAAACCCAAGGCGAGCAAGTCCATGGGTGATTGGGACATACTTTGTTGGGTCATACCCAAATGACGTGTCCCGACCAGCAGCGGCCTCAAAGTTGCTAAACGCGAAAAGACGAAAGTAACAAACAGCTTCTTGGAGTCTTGCGCTCCCACTAATGCGATTGGATACTACTTTGAAGCTGATCATTGGAAACTCGGAGGGCCATGTGCAAAAACCATGTAAAACCGTAAAACCCATCCGCCTTCAAATTCATGACACATCCTCCATTTCTAGAGACCTCAACACCCCGATCCCCGAGTCACTCCATTCACATGAGCACTCACCTCCCGTTGGTTGTTGCTCCCCCCGACGTCTCCACATCTCCACGCGACCGAGGTGGCCACTGCCCGTTGGTGTGAAGGGAACCACAGCGCCGCCAGCGCGGATGGGGTCACACAGTTCATGGGTCCAGCGGCACCGTTGAGCGCTTGTCCCAGATGAACGCAGGCGTGCGCGGCGTGCGAGGTGACCCTCAAGCCTCGTCGCAAAGGGTCGGTGTTTGAAAGGAAGGCTGACATCAGCAGCTGCGGTTTTTTTGGGGGGAAGGGAAGGAGAAGAATTGCAGTGGTCACTCAGTAGTCTGAGTCTTTTTGCGTGCGTTCTGAGAAAACAACCAGAGAAACGACATGAAAAAAACAACATGGGCAGCACAAGTGTTTGCTTTAAAAATAATCTGTGTTCGGCGAAACATGTCACATGGGCTACAGGTTAAAGAATCTTGACCTGTTGTTCGATGCTTGCGTCTTTCACATCGTTTCACATGTTGCGCCTAAAATGTTGGGCATCAATCGCAATACCATCCCTGTGGCGGTGAGCACGGCGCCAGAGAGGATGACATGCCAAAGGTGGTCGGCGTTCTTCGCGATAAGGTAGCCCACCAAAGGAGCCACGGGAAGATACATGATGGGCCCCCAATTCCTGAGGATCTCGGCCCCTCAAACACCGAGCAGAAACCCGTCACCGTGGTCAAAGAAGCAGATTGGAACGTATTGTCTTGTTTGTGTTTTGGGGGTGACTTCGGAGGCACAGCTACTGAATGTGCTTTTGGGACTGCCGACTTTTGCTGAGATGTGACGATACCTTGTTGCTTCAGTACTGACCTAGCTTGAGAGTTGACCAGTACCCACCGTACCCACCCATGTCAGGCCCCATATCAACAGTTTCTTTCATGACTAGTGACACTCTCTGAGGTGCTTGTAAACCTGGCTGAAATTGGCTGAATATTGTACTGCAGATCCAGATGTGTCATCGCTTCCATTCTAAAGCCTCTTTCCATTCACGCCCCAAACAAACCAGCCACCAGCCAGACTTGTGCGATCTCCAGATCCCACGGCCTCCGACCGAACCTGGAAGCCCTTCCGTGACCTATACTGGAGGCCATTCTCCATTGACCTATACTGCAGCGCCTGCAGCGCATCAATCAGGTAAGGTTCAGCAACATGTCAATGGACGCCTTGGCATTCTCAAAGCCATAGTACTCAGAAGCGATCTGCGGATTGGCACCTAACTTGCTGGGCTGGCGGGTTGAAGAGCTTCGCAACGGTGTATCCACTACTAGATCACTACTGCATTTCAAAGTACAGTCTCCACTAGCCGAAACGAGGTGCTGTAGGTCACCCAGCCAACTGCTTGCATGAGGCCCAGCCAAAACATACATGACAGCACCAGCCAGCGTCGCGACTCGGGCTCACTCATGGCGAGTTGCGGAGATTTGGAATGTTATCTATTCGTTTCTCTTTCGGTCTTTGAGAAAGGCCTAGGATCTGACTTACTTAGCTCAAGGCCGAAAGGAAGTGACCTCAGACAGAGTGACCGACCGATTTCGGTCACGTCACTGACAAAGGCTCCTGTCGTGTGTTGGAACTCGCTGCGATGGATCGATCTTGGATCGCTTCAAGCTCTGAAAGAAGAGAAGAAAGGAAGGAAGCCTCTTGAAAACCCAATGATTGTTTGGGGGGAACAGCCTGCGCTTTTTTGGCATCTCCACACAGAAACACATCTGCTATCTTCTTCAGCTATCTGATGTTCTTCTTCAGCCAAAGAACACAGCCAGCCTTGACTCGAGCCTTTGGCTGCAGTGCAGTCTCACTCAGAAAAACAAGAAAGACAGGGCGTGCGCCAGCAGCAAGCACTTGCCATCGCCGAAGGTCAGAAATGAAACCAACTCGCACATGTCGCCCTTTCAACATCTTAACGGGGGGAGGCGCCTTCAGGCAAGCGGCGGCAAGCATCTGGAGACCCTTTTTTCCGGTGTCGCTACTATCTCAATGGAGTTCGTCCAAACAAACCCAGGTCTGAAACCGTCTGAAACCGTTGAGAAGGTTTTGCACCGGTTGAGTCGGTTTTTCAGTGATCATGAAAAGTGTCTAGTGGAGCCCGCCTGGACATCTAGGATCGCAGAAGGCGAAGCTTGGCGAGGCAGCCATGGAGGGAGTGCGGAAGAGACGGAAGAGCCATCCGTTGAGTCTGGGGGGTCTGAGTTGAAAAGTGGGTGAGTGTGAGTCGAACTGGGTCAAGACCACAAACTTCTGCAAAACTCATTGCAAGATATGGTAAGCACGGCCCTGTGTGTCATGACTGCTTGAAGGGATGGGTGGAGTCTTCCTTGCAACTTTCTCTTGAAGCAAATTTTGGCAAAGGTTCGGGTGAAACTCCTAGGGGTTGAGTCTTTGTGGCTATTGATGGCTATTGTAGTTTCTGTTCCTTCTCGGCTCGTTCCATGTCATGGGCCCATGCAACTTGTTCTGTTGTCTATCTATATAATTATCTGCTTGGAAGTCAGGATCAAATCAGAAAAAAAATCTAGAGTGAGGTTACATCTGAATCTTCATGGCCTCCTTGCAGGCTGTGAGAAATGGACGAACGGGGCCAAGCAGGCTGCGACCACTCAAAGTTGCTCCGACCGACGGGCACTGCGATCTGCGGCAACCGCCAGATTGCAGTCTTCAGCTAGAGAGAAGCTCGAAAAGGATGATAAAATCAAATGAAGTCCAAGTTCCCAACGCCAGCAGCAGACCCATTTCAGCAGCTGGTCTTTTTCATTCCTGATGTTGCTAGGCGATCTTTTTCACCGGGTGAGAACGAAGGAACCTGGCAAAGGGTGGCACAGGCAACCAAGCAAACCACTGGCTTGTTCCCGACCGTGAACCCCAAGCAAAATCTCATCAACAAATGGAAGCGTGGAGTCCATGTTTGCCACTAAAGCTGAAGAAAGACCCATGAAACGATAGAAAGGAAAAACAAAGAACATCTCCTGTGTCACTGGACGCACACCCAGCATGACCCCGCCTCCACAGGCAACATCGTGGCCTTTGAGGCTGCATATCAAGACTCCTGAGGTACCCGCGGCGATTGTGGCAATATCTGCGGTTCATAGGATCGTGAAAACCCTCCGGGACCTAGACCTATCCCCTCAAACTCAAAATACCGGCGGAGAAAAAGATGGAGACGGCACATGGATATTCATCTCCACAAAAAGGTCCAAGAAATCTCTGACTCTGATGCAAACACTGTTTTGCTGACAATTGTGTTCCATTCTAAATTGCCTTGAGAGGGTTAGCCACTTGGCCGATGAATGCTCAAATCAAGCTGTACAACCACTTCCTCTGAATTGCAAAATTGATACACCCACATGCAGCCTCGTGAGGTGCAAAACTCGTCGGCCCTAAGCTAGGCCCTAAGGACATGGGAGGGACATCTGGGACTTCTGTGTCTCTCTCTCTCTCTCTCTGTCTGATCCAAGGCTCACGTCTTCTCCCTCCGCCAACCAAAACGAGCCAAAGATCCGACCCAGATTCGACCGGGTGCCCCGCTTCGGCCAAGCTTCCGCGCGGGTTCGATCCCGCGGAACCCGCGCGGAAGCCGCGCGGGTTCGCCGCTCGGCCCGCCCAAGCGCGGGAGGTTCCCCCGGCCTGTTCCGCTAACCTCTGCGGATGATGTTCTGCGTATGGGTGGTGTACCTGAGCAGACGACGAGCCACATGTTTCAGGGCACTGGCCGGACAGGCGTCGCGAAGCTGGTGAGCCTGGCGAAGTGCCTGGGGATCGGTGTGTTGGAATTGACCCCAAGAGGCATTTTGCAACAGTGAGGGGGCTTGAATTGCGCCTATGCTAGCAAGCCCTGTTCTGCCATGCATTTCTATTCTTGGGGGACCCTTTCCTCTCTTCAGGACGACCAGCTCCCTTTCAACAGCTAACAGATGCTAACAGCTGGCAGCTCCCAAACCTTGTATCAATGCATCAATCACTCAGCTACTGCTCATCCTGTTTCTGATTCCACAGATCTTGGCGCACATGTTGTCCTGATGCTTGGTCATAGCGCAGGTCCTCAGTTGGAAAGGTGGAAGGTGACAACCAAATTGCAAGAAAGACATGGAAGCGAGGCTGGGGCCGATGTTGTCAGAATGAGCTGCAAATCAACGTGCATCCTGAAAATCACTGGGCTGCAGATGAAAATGGTCTGGTTCACCATAGTTTTCAAGAGGGTAGATTCATTCCTCTAACAACTCTTTTCACATACTACTGTGGTCAGCAAGTTGGACTTCAAACAGGTCAAGACCCGCGCGGTTGATCCTGGTTGATCTGGTGTATACAGTCAAATACCTCTATATACTAAACCAGCTTCAAGGTCCTGAGACCTGCCAGATCTTCCAAGCAGAACCTGCGCCGACAACAGGATCATGAGAACCTCTCCAGCGCAGAGAAAAGCTTCGGCTTCTACCCTCGGAACTCACCCCCCCGGATCAAGTGTGATGTGTCTTTGCTTGGATCACTTTTTTTTATTACATTTAAAAAAACAAACACACCCCTGGCCAGCCGCGGTCTTCTTGGATGTTCAATGCAAAAAAAGATTGGCGCCGGTCTTCTGGTGCTTTTCGGTGCGTCCTTAAAGCCTCCGTTGCCCCCACGGCACGTCTGCTCCGCGGACCGTCCGGCAGAACCGGTCCGGGTCCCCGAGCGACTTGGGATACGTGACGCGCGTGGCGCCAGTGGACAGCCGTGGCAGAACGCCGTCATCGCCTCGGAGGGAGCGCATCTGCCGGATCGGACAGGGGAGGTTGGAAGAGATGGCTTCCGAACGTTGCTTTGCGAAGAAGCTCTAACTTGAAAGAGAATGTTTGGGCTGACACCTGCATGCAATCATTGAAACAGTTGAATTACTTATTGAGGCGTGCATTATTCATTTGGTCAGTTCTGAAGTTTGCCCTGGCGATGGGGATGTGAAAGACCTGGGACAGGGTGGTCTGGGTCTGGGCGACCTGAGTGACCTGACGATGGGTTCTTGGGCTGCAAGGCTAGCATTTTTGAGAAGTAGCGCTCAAGATAGATACCCCAGAAATAGAATGAAATAGGTCACCAGCAGCACCACATTGAAATCATGACAAGCGTCTCTTGTCAACCAAAAGGAGAATCTTCATCAATGAGTATTGTCTTTGCGGGTTAATTTTGAGTCCCCGCAACCCAAGTCTGCTTTGTCAGAGTCTGAGGTGAGAACTCAAGTGCCATCCAATCTCCTGCATTTGGACGAAAAAGAAAAAGCAAAGACCAATGAGCAGCTTCGCTTCTGAGGCTCTCCGGAGAACACACCCCAACGAGTACGAGTACGTGGAGGGACCCAGGGACCAATCTCAAAGGTCGCCGCGGAAGAAAACACATACTGACTGCTACAACTCGTGGAGAGCAGCTGGGGCAGCCAAATCTCAAAAAGATCAAGGCCCCAAGGGCCCCAAGGCCACGCACCGGTGGGTTCAAAAAGAAAGCTCGGAGGCGAACCCGAAGCCTGGTTAACCATACAGCTGCCACGGTCTTAAGGCGACGTCACACCGTGCAACATTGCTTGCCCGGTGAGAAACTAATACAAAACATCTTATGGAAAGTGAATAACCAACTTGCTTTGGATTAAGAGACATATAGTCTATCATATAGTTATCCGTTTGTTACTAGTACCTTCTTGCTAAAAAAAGTAGTGGCCTCCAACCTAATAGCGATGGCCTCCAACCGTAGCTTCTTGCTTGTTTCGGACATGTTGTGTTATGTTATTTCTAGAAATGGCTAAGTGAAAGTTTCAACCAAGGATTGATTTGTTCGACACACTAGCAGCAGCTTGCAGCAAAATCCTTCCCCTTGTCATCGAATCCTCCCAACCTTCCAACAAACGATATGCAGCCTTAGGTGGTTTGGTAGCCCAGCTGGAGGCATCAAAATTGAAGCCAAATCATCCAACTAGATTTGGTTTGTCCTTCGGCCCAAGAAGAAAGTCTGCAACAGAATCGGAACCTTTGGAGAAAGTGAACTGCTCTTCGCTGCCTCTTGCGATGACGTTCGAACTCGCACATGAGTTTCACATCGGCATCAGCCATGGTCTTGTGGGTTCGGTGAACAGGCGGGTACTTGTCACCCTGAAAATGAATAGTTGATGGGGACGCCTTCGCCACCATTTGTTGGCCCAAGAACAATACAGGTATGGTGCAGTGAAGTTCAGTATCGTTCAGTATGGCTCCCTTATTTCGACACCACCCTGCCACTGTTGTGTGAAAGGAAGAAGCAGTCACCTGCTAATCACCTGCAGGTCAAGCAGTCTTCTTTCGATCTGACGGATCTGGTCTTCGAGTCGTCTCGTCTTCGAGCCGAACCCCTGTAGATCCATCCGCTCCATGTTGATGTTCGGAGGATCATGATAAAGATCTCGCGGCGAGTGCATGGATCTGCGCAGGGATTTGGCCGACTCGTAGTGGGTGTTAGGGCATGGGTAGTGGTAGTGGCAATGGTGGTAGTGGTGGGCGTGGTGAGGTTCATGTTGATGCTGTTGGTTATTTTACTTTAGCCGCATGCAAATGACTGGTTGCT